TACGTCTTATTCAATTTTAAATTTGAGAAGCTTCTTTCCGTCGAAGCTATACTGACTGGAATTGTGAACATGAATCTGGTAACTATATAAGCATTCGGAAATATTTGAATATGGTTAATGCCATTATCAAACCAAATTGTTCAAAATATTTACTAAGTGCTTAGAATCCACAGTCGGTAACTTTTTGCGAGGCCACTGTGGGCGCGAGGACGTCGGCGGTCGCCGACATCGCTGACGCCTAGCGACGCCTCTGAGCTAATGTTGTGTACGAAGACTGCCTTTTAAGTATTACGCCTTACAAGGAAAACATAGTAGGTTAACAGTAAAATGGCTTTATTGGTTGTCGATCCATGATGATCAATATATTTTTATATTCGATTGAATTAATTTTTGAAACAGTTTTACCACTGTAAAGTTGGTATCTCCAAAAGGACGGTTTCGAATGTGTCAACGGCTTGTTCGAGCATAGAATAACGCTTGCTTCGCATTTTTTTTTTTTTAAATTTGGGAACAAGATAAAGTCATTAATTGCCAACCCGGGACTATGAGTCGGATGACACATCAATTCAACGTTTTGAGTGCTCAAAAACTCATTTGTTTGAGATGATGTGTGGGAGCTCACATTGTGGTGTTGGAGGATGATCTTCTTTCGATAGTTGGTTTTCCTCAATTCTCCTTGGACTTCCGGCAAACAAATGGAAATGTACTACACAGAATTAACAGTTCTATGTTGCTTAAGAGGTACAGTTGCGACATTGCGATTTGCTTGCAACACGTATTTATTGCCTGCTTCATAATATAAAATTCAAATCATAAATTAAACATACGATGTTTGTGATGTTATATGTCATCATATGTTATATGAGAAATTGTTGCTGTTTTCCGTATAAACTACAGATTTTAGAATGAAATATCCCAGCTTATTTTAAGCTTTAGTTTAGCTTTATTGATTTTAGCTTATTTTAATGTGTATATTTCAGTTAAATTAAGTACTAACAAATATGATTTAAAAAGTCCTTAATATGAAAAGTAATATTTTATTATTTATTTTTCTGAAGCTTAAAAATAAATTTAAATAATAAATAATGAATAATAAATATAAAGTAATATTATATTTATACTTGTTCCTAATTAATTATTGACTGTGCAGTGCATTTTGTGAATTAATTACGATAGTGTAAACGTTTTGTAATCCCACTAATCAGAAGATTTTTAATGTTTGCGTTAATTAATATTGTAAATAATATCGAACATTATTTTAAATTTCTTTTCGTTCTAGTTTAAAAATGATACGAACTAATATAAAAATGTATTTTCTATTAAATCGTAATAAATTTAATTTAATTAAGAAGCTTGTTAATTATTTGTTTAAAAATTCATGGCATAATTTTAGGCGGCTCAATTTTTAAATTTGTGTGTAATGTATAGTTCAAATAAGTGGCATTATTTAACTTTCGATTGGCAAGGTAAATGTTCGAGCGGTAAGGACAGAGCTTTGATATTTAAGGATGACAAAAAAGTCTTAGTTATGATAACAAATGTTAATGGACTCAATATTTATACTTTTAGTCCACCTATAGTAAAGAACTACAAAATCATATGGAATTAGTGATTAAGTATTTATTTGATGAAATTACTCGGGTGAGGAGTAAAATTTAATATAAACTTAATAATTATGAAAAAATCGCTAATACTTGATTATAATTATAGTTCAGTCATCGTAACAAATATTCCAAGTTCTTAAAAAACATACTAGTATCTAATCAGAACAAAACGGGAAACGGAAAACCGGGAATAAAGGAAAATATTGTGTATCGCACTTTGATATCCGATGATAAAAGGTGGTTAAACCAATCAGTAATGTACAAAAAAGTTTCTATGTATGTATTTAACAATATATAATTATTATAATGAAGCGAATCTTACGACATATCTTATCTCAGAATTTAAGATAAGTACGAATATTCGCTATGACTTTCCATTAGTATCTTAAAATTTTTTTGCAGTTATTTAACTACAAAGGTAGGGAGTACTAATGGTTTAAGAAATTATCTGCTTCCTTTTTAGTTACAAAATGCAAATCAATGTAATTATCTGATTAATTAAGTTTGATTATAAACTTGCCGTGGGGAATACAAATTAGATTTGTAACATTTGAGGTACTTCTCGTATTTTTTGCTTTCAGATGCAAATAAAATAATATTTTTTGATAAAAATTAATATTCAAATGATTAAACGAAAATAATGCATGAATTGTCGATAATCAAACGTTATATGGGAAATTTAATTTCATAAAATTTCATCGATTTATAATAAATTCTGGTAGTTAATTTTCTGAGATATTATATGTTTGTCTACAAGACTTAACAAGTATTAATTAAATAATAAGCGGGAGCATAAATTTAATATAAGTTAATTTAACTCATAAAATTCTTTCTCCATAAACATCGACTTTAATTATATTGCTTCATATATGAGTACACATTACTTGACACAACCTATGGCATTCGATAATCGTAAATAGACGTCCGCCTATTTATAATTGAATTCTAAAAATAGACTTCAAACAAACTCGAACTCAATTAAGAAAAAAGTCAATTGACTGATTTGAGGAATCCTTTGCGGAGTGGATATGCAAATTTCGAGACACGTGACTCCGCGCCTCGATGTGCGCTTGACAACTCATACACTCTGGCGGCACTCAAGCATTCCACCACTTCAGGACTCAAATCAAATATTGATGCTTTAGTTGCGGTTGTGGTTCGCAAAATTATAGAACACGCAAACCATTTAACAAGTTCTAATTGGAGTTAGTTTAGTGTGTTAAACGGGAAGGATACGCTTCCTTACTCGATACAATAACAGCACAATTTAGAAGAAATTGTTGATATTTGAAGTGATAATAGAGTTCTGAGTTGTTACTTAATTGATTGAATGCGTTCAATAGTCCTTGTGAAATGGTTGGTATATGAGAGTAATTATATAGAAAATATTTTAACTAATAGCAAGCAAGGAATGAAACCCCAAGTAGAATCTATTAATAACAAAGTTTGTGTAAGAATCAGAATGAAATTTTTTAAGGAATTCATTATATATATATTGGTATATAATATTCTAAAGTAAAATCATAACAAACGAAATTGGAGTATTGATAGATCTTTCAACCAATAATAATAATAATAGAAGTAATTAATTATTTCATTTAATATATAATATTGAAACACCAATCCAATGGTTGTGCTTACTATGACGATTTAGACAAAAGAGTGACTAACTACTTAATGTAACTGGTATGAATATATGTCGACATTCGTTTATTCTACAATACTAATAGACATGGTCCTGATAACAACTCAAACAATGGCAGTACCATCAATATAGTACAATACCACACTGTAGAGGTCTGACATACGAATACTTATTAATATATATGTTACAATATAGTGTCTAGAGCGTAATAACTTCAAAAAAGTCTGTAATATAAAATTGTGTAATAATTTTACGATAAGGAATGACATATGCTGCAAACATTATAATTTGTCATATATTGTGTTAAATTGTGATCGTCTAGTGATGGAAGTACAAAGGAATTATTATTTTATAAAAACTGAAAGCGATGGGTTACCGAGATTATACGAATTAATAGCACCAGTCTTGTTTTAGACCTACTTTAAAAGTAAGGCACATATTTGTAAAGTCCATTATAATTTCATGCTTAAAGGTTAAAATCATAAACGCATACGCATACAGGAGCACACGCATACAGGACTATAAAGCAAGGACATGGAAAGTTTTTATACTATAATTCGAACTCTATGACTTCAGTATTTGATACAAGGCAGTGTTTAGTATGTTCAACTAAGTACTCATTTGTCTTCAGGACTTCAAGAGATGAAAATTTGTGAAATTTCAGCTTTATCTTGTTGAATCATTTCTAACGTAAATACAGTGATTATCCGAATATCATTGAAACGTTTTGTAGAGCTGCCATTTCCATTATGTGCTATAGTGCCGAAGTTTAAAATATGCAAGCTCTCTTTATATTAATATATAAACTATACTAAGTTGCTTAATCTTTTGTGTTAGTATCTATCTTTAGCTAAGAAAAAAGAAGATCTGCCTAAATGTTTTGCGCCCTCTTTCTTACCGATCTGACAAAGCATTTAAAACTATCTTTTCTAGGATGCCGATGTAAAGTAAAAGGTATATAGAAATTATTGCTTGAGCTATACGTTTCTATTAAGAAAAAACACAGCACTCTCATTCAGATGCCATACAGAGATATCATTTTTGTGGTAGGTTTTTAGATGGGTCACACCCTATTTGGAAACCAAACTACAGTATTGAATTTCTCGTTTAATCATTCCTATCGTAGTTGTGGAGATGAGAATAAAATTGCCTTAGATCTGAATTCTTATTGTCCAGCGTATGTGCGGAGCCATTTAAGTACACCAAGGACTTCCTTTTTTGAGGTCTTTGGCTAGCTGCAGGGACTTCCTCTAAAAAACTTTTTAGGTTTTGTTTAAGGTTCAAAGTAGTTCATAAACTTTAAGTTCTTATAAGGTAACACATTGGGCCAATAGGTATAAGTGGATCTTCAGGATCAACTTATACCTTTAACTTTTGACTTTGTTCTTTTCAAGCCTGGAAATGAATAAATCAAAAAGTTTTTTTGTAAAAAAGATTCTTTCAATGTTACAATGATAAGAAAATATTTCAATTTCTGAAAAAATTAAAAGTAATTCTCACATTGACTTTAGATCTTTACTAATTTAGTTAAATGCCATTTGAATGCTAATTGAATGTAAATTTCTTGCTTCGACAGTACGAAAGAACAACAAATATAATGAACGGTTGAGAAAGTATCTCAACCTCAATCTTGGAATATAAAGAAAAGTTTTCCAAAAGAAAAGAAATATATTTTACAAAGATCAAGAAGAAAATTAAAATGTCGACAAAGACTTGTGCAAACAATCATTATTCTTGACAAATATTCTTACCTGTTGAGGTCGAAGGTAGATGTTCAGACATTTTGCTTTATGCGATTGACAGTATCATAAACCAATTTGGCAGCTAAAATATTTAAACTGTGATAAGTAAGTTCAGTTCAGTTGAGATATTAGCAATTTTGTGTGCTATAAGATATATTTGGTTCCGTCATTCTAATGGAAAATCAATGAGTTTTTCGATTTTTCTACTGCTTCGTTGCCAAACAACTGCAAACGTTTGCAAAATGTAAAATATTTTCTGAACTCTAAGCTTTCCTCTTAAACATGTCGAACGGAGCGTGGAAGTGACGTCAACATATCCTTAACGATTGCTGTTCCTTGGAGGGGTGTGAGTCTCTTTATAATTTCTATTTGTGTTTTGTGTTTAAATGCTCGGCTTATAATATTAAAATTACATGAGTTGTTGTTATTCATTGTTTTCGTGTCATTATGATTTTGTGTTTCATATTTATGAGTTGCCATCACGCAATGTCCTTCCAAGGTGTCTTTCGGGGTCCCCTTTGCAGTGTAGTAGGAGTTTTGCTGTTCACTTGGAACTGTTGCTTTTTGAATTATACGTTTCACGGGTTTAGTTGCATTGACAGTTTTGTGACGCGGTTATTAGTTGAGTTCAAAAAGGTTTAATTATTCATTTTCATGCCACATGAATTTCATTTATTTAAACAAATTTTTATATTCAGAAATATGTAAAGTTTTTTATTAGTCATGCAGTTATCCAGATAACATCTTGCATTGGAAATGAGAATACCTGAAAGTAGACAATGTAATGTGTTTATCATGAATAAATAATATTATTAAAGTGCTTCTTATGACTTTAAAAATATAAAAAAAATAGTTATTTTTATGATAATAAATTAGTATTATATTTAATTAATAAAATTATATTATTATATTAATAGAAAAGTATTTATTTTGATTACATAGTAACCGGAAATTGTCTAATATATGCATTGTTCTCCAAAATATTCTTCAAGGTATATATAAGAAGATTGACTTCAGTGGAAACAACTATAAATAGTTCCTCTGCTTAAAATTTAGTTTTTGGAAAAGTCATGGGAGCACTGAACAGCGTCATTAATTATTTAATTCAATATTCTAAGCACTGCATACAAATTTAATATGCAAATCCAACGAGTAAATTAAAAATACATAGAATAAGCGTCAATATTGAATGGTACATCTCAAATAATGACATGCATAAGGATATAAAAAGAGACTTCCTTGAACATAATACCAAAAACTATATAGACTAACTACTTTCCCATCCTAATTTTTAGCAAAAATCAAACTAGTTGCACTGCTATCTTATTCCATTGAAGACGAAATAATTATCAATAGGAGTTTAAAGCTATATAAAGAATACTTACTATATATATATATGTATAGTCTTACAGAATAAGAAAAAAAATACTAAATGTTTAAACTTAGAGGAGGTTAAAAAAACATTCTCAACTATAAATAAGCACTGTTCGGTCGTTTTTCTTAATATATATCAAGTGTTTGAAAAAATTTGGCACCCTAAGCTATCAAATTAAAATAATACTTATCCGCTCAATACTAATTCTTTTAAAACTTCATTTAAAAGAGAAAAAATTTTATTTTAGGATTGTTTATGAAAGATCAAGATATTTATGATACCAGACCAAGTGTTCGGTAAAGAAATTCCTTCATACCTACTCTCTACCAGATAGCCCTAAAAATAATACAGACAATACTGCAGTCCTATTCATCCTATGATGCTTTCGACACCCAGTAAAAATTTTTACTTCAGCTAGAAATCTATTTTACTGTATGGAGTATTATGGTCATTTTAAAAAAAATCTGCTCGTAAGAAAAGGCCGTTTAGTAATTTTCATGTAAAATGTTTAAGTAAGGAAGTGTGTGATAATATATCATGGTTTTGTTATATATATATATATCTTATATATATAATTCTTCTGTACGTGTGTTGACAGTGAACTCCTCCTAAATGACTGAACCGATTTTGATGAAATTTTTTGTGAGTGTTCAAGTGGATTCAAGAAAGGTTTAGATTCACATTTTGGCCCACTAGATAATGTCTTTTTAATTAATTTTTAATTTTTTGGTATGCGTATACATTTATATTAGAAATTTAAAATTTATTCATGCTTACTTTGATTTGTTTAAAAACTTTAAAATCTCTAAAATGAATCGTAAAACTGCCGTTGCATAGCTTAAGTGCATTTAAATTCCTCAGCATAATTATAGGTGAGCCAATTTTTAATCTTAAGTTATGTGGTGGTATTCCTGGTAAATCCAGCGAATTCAAAAATTCAACACACAAAAGAGAAGAATTATATATATAAAGATATAAATAACGTACAAAAAACAATGCCACGTCTTCGTGGACGAGGAGGAAATATTGGTCGACGGACGCGGAATTCACAATTACTCCAAAACCGTCGGTTAAATAGATCGGCAGAAAACAATGAAAATGTAAGAAACCAGGATACAATCACACGTGCTTATGAAAGTCAAAAGCAACGCAACGAACGCCAGGAAAACTAATTGCAAGGGGAAACAACGTTCGCCAGGTCAGCAGTTATATATATATAACTAAGCAGAAATACCAAAGCTAAAAGGAAATATATGCATTTGAAATTGGGAGAACTTTATTGATTATAAGGGTAAAAATCGGTGCTGTCTTTTGAAAATACATTTATATTAAACAACATTATTTTTAGATCTATCCAAACTTATGTAGTGATTACAAACCAGATTATAACCATGTTATTCAATTGTTTTTATCAAAGACTAATATTCAGAGCAATTAAATAATTTGAAGGTATGTCCGAAAGAAAATAGAATGTTTCAGTAAGAGGAGAACAAATTTGAAACAAAAGTGCCTATATTGGGTTTTTAGTCAGGCATCCGTATTATCTATCGAACATAAACTTCAGTTATACAAAACTGTTTTTTAAATCATCTACATCTATGGGACAAATATATGGGTTACTGCCAGTAATCAAATATTAATTAATTTGAATGTATCAGAAGGAAGGATTAAAAAGTTTAAGTTAAGAGTACTGAAGCAGATTAAAAAATCATTATATTATCTTGACAATGGAGTACTGTCTATTGAAAAAAAAATCGAAAATTTGCTGGTATATACATTAAGACTGAAAAGTTTTCGGAAATTCTCATTTAAAATTCGCGCGCTGTATATTTTTCGATATTTTAAGTTTATGTAGTTT